CCAGCCCTTTGAGAAGGTATGGTGGCTTGCAGTTCTTGGTGGGTGCTCGTGGACTGCAGAGCCCTGCCTGCCACGGTGGTGCTCCCCCATGGGACCACCAGGCTCCTCAGGGATGCAAGCATCACACTGAAGGGACTGTGCTCCCAGTCCACCTGGCACCCACCACTGGGGCACCTGCTCTTGCCCGTATCCCAGGGGGATGCTGTGGGGTGGGAGCTGGAGGTGCTCTGGTGCTCCAGGTGGTGGTGCCAGTGCAAACGGGACCACCTCAGTGATCACCAGCATCCCTGAACCCTGCTCCTGGTGCAGTTCCAGTCGGAGTCGTGCCCAGCTGTGGGGATGTCACGCTCAGGGACCTCCCAGGAGGAGCTGCGCATCGTGGAGGGCCAGGGGCAGGCGAGCGACACGGGTCCCTCTGCTGATGAAGTCAACAACAATACCTGTGCAGGTGAGATGGTGCTGGCAAGTGGTTGGGGAGCAGCCCCTCACCCTGGCACCCAACCTTCTCTGCCTGCCCTGGTATAGGGCTGCTGGCAGACACTGATGGGGGTGAACCCCATACCTTGCTGAGGACCCTCCCCTCCCCACAGTGACTCAAGAGGACCTTCTCCTGGACAGCCCAGAGAAGACTTCACCAGATGGGCCACTGGAGACTGCTCTGGACCACCTGAAGCTGGGCAGCATCTTCACTTTCCGTGTGACGGTCCTGCAAGCCTCCAGCATCTCTGCAGAATATGCAGACATCTTCTGCCAGTTCAAGTGAGCCCCTGGTGCCCACCAAGCCTCACATCTCCCATCATTCTCAGAGCTGGGAGTGAGCACTGGGGAGACCCAGCCACACCACCTCAGAGCCCTTCATGGAGAGGGGGGCAAAACAAAAGGCTGCAGGATGAGCCAGGGTCCTTTGCTGGTTGCTGGCAAAAGGCTGGGAGAGGCTTTAATGAGCTTCAGGGGGTCTTGTCCCAGCCAAAGTTGCTGGCAGTAGCTGTGGGGGGAGCAGGCTCTTCTCCTGGCCCCTGCCTTCTCTCCCCTCCCTGCTCCAGCGTGTCCCCATCCCACAGCCCCCAAGTCACCTTCCTTCCCTCCACAGCTTCATCCATCGCCATGATGAGGCCTTTTCAACAGAGCCCTTGAAGAACACGGGACGGGGGCCACCCCTCGGTTTCTACCATGTCCAAAATGTATGTAAGCCCTCTTCTGCCCACACCCCCTCACCCCTGCAGCTGTTGGGGTCTCTGTGGGGCCCTGTTGGCTGGATCCTCTCCCCTGGGGAACAGCTTCCTCCTGGCCTTCCTAGCCCATCGCAGACACATAGCTAATCCAAACTTAGATGTGCAGGAAGAAAGACCAAAAGCTGCTGCCCTCCACCTGGAAAGGCTGGGATTTCATAGCAGTGGTCTTGGTGGGGAGAGCATCCCCGGGTTGGGGGGAAGAGGATGGGTGAAGGATGCAGGGGATCAGTCAGGCTTGCACCCTCCCACCTCCCCAGTGCTGATGCTGCCTGAATCCCTTTCCCAGCAAAACTGTACTGTCAATGGCTCTTTCTCTTCTAGATTGCTGTGGAGGTGACCAAGTCCTTTGTTGAATACATCAAGAGCCAGCCGATTGTATTTGAAGTGTTTGGGCACTACCAGCAGCACCCCTTCCCACCCCTCTGCAAGGATGTCCTGAGGTGGGTGCACCCTGGGCCATCCCCAGCCACTGGGTGCCACAGGGGCACCTGATGCACTTAGAGAAAGGAGGGGAGAGGGTGGCAGGAGGGGTGACCCGGGGGTGTAGGTGGGGTTGGTTGGGTGTGGGTGTCCCTGTGGATGCTTTAACCCAGCCAGTTCACTCCACAGCCCCCTGAGGCCATCCCGGCGCCACTTCCCCCGTGTGATGCCACTCTCCAAACCAGGTAGGGGATCTGGCCTCCTGCTCCTCTGCCTCCCCCGTTGTCCCCATGCTGAGTGCACAGTTCCCTTCCCCAGAGGGACCAGTTAGGACCCCAGGAGCACCACTCAATGTACTGCAGGCCAGAGCACCCAAAAGCCCTTGGCATCCATTCCCACGGCCCCTGGCTGATGCAGAGCCTTTCTCTCACCTCTGGCAGAGTGGCAGGGAGGAGGCTGCCCTCCCTGGATGGCTCAGATGGCCCCTCAGCCCTCCCGTCCCACAGGGGCAGTGGGGCAGCTGCTGTGCTCTGTCTGCCAGGACTTGAATTGTTGGAGTTTGGCTGAGCACTGTGGTTTGCTCTGTGGTGCCCTCAGCAGCACCAGGGCAGCCTCTCTCCAGCCATCCTGTTCCTGAGCAGCTGTCTCCAAGTGGTCCCTGGAGCAGTGCTTCCTGGTTTGGGATGTGTCCATGCCAGGGCTGAGGGCTCAGGTTGTGCCTTTTGGGGGTGGGTGAGGCTGGCTGCTTCCTCACACTTGCTGCTCTGCATTGGGCATGGCAGGAGGCTCACCAGTGCTCAGCAAGGTCCCCAGGATGGGGCTGTCCCCCTCTGTGTCCTCCCTGCTGCCTCCTCTGTGTGTCTCCCTGTGGCCCCTGCCTGCTCTGCCCTTACCCTGCATGCTGGCATGGGTGCAGCAGGCTCACCTTTCAGCCTGTCCTTCTGACCCACCACAGTGCCTGCCACCAAGCTGAGCACCATGACTCGGCCCAGCGCCGGCCCGTGCCAGTGCAAGTACGACCTGATGGTCTTCTTTGAGATCTGTGAGCTGGAGGCCAACGGCGAGTAAGTGCTGCTGGAAAAGGGAGCAGGAAGGAGAGGGAGGCAGTGCAGTGATTTGCCTGGTGTTCAGCACCTCCAGGCATGCTGACAGGGCTCTCTGTCATGCCATAATCCTCTCTTCCAGCTATATCCCTGCTGTTGTGGACCACCGTGGAGGCATGCCGTGCCATGGGACCTTCCTCCTCCACCAGGTAATCCCTCCCCAGATGCTGTCCCAGCTCTGGCTCCTGCCAGGAGCTGTGTTAACCACTGCCCCTTCTTTCTGGCTTCGTGGGTCTCAGGGCATCCAGAGGAGAATCACTGTCACCTTGGTGCATGAAACGGGCAGCCTCATCCGCTGGAAGGAAGTGCGGGAGCTGGTTGTGGGTAAGCCAAGCCAGGGTGGGTGTGCTGTGAGCAACCCCCAGCCCACCAAGCCCCCAGACATCTTCTCGGGTTGTTCCTCGCCCACATTCCCACATGGGGCTTTATACCTCATCTCCCCACCTGCCCTGCAATAGCAAAGTGGCAGCTGCCTGGTGGGTGACACTAGGATGCCACATGGGCAGGACACCTCTGTCCTGACCACCATGTGCAGGAGCTGGACCAGGACCACCAGTCCTGAGCGGCCAAGCACTGGGTGGCTGCTTGCCTGTGATGGGGGCACTGCTGGGGGATGCACCCATGCCCTTGCCCCTGACAGAGACCCTGGTAGGGCCACCTCCCGTTGCCTGAGCAGCATTCCTGTGCTTGCAGGTCGGATCCGGAACACCCCAGAAGCAGATGAGTCTCTCATTGACCCCAACATTCTGTCCCTGAACATCCTCTCTGCTGGGTACATCCACCCCTCCCAGGATGACCGGTGCGTGCTGCTGCTTCTCTTGCTCTTCCCCTGCTGTAGTGAGGGGCTTGGGGGGAGAATGGGGAGCCCCTCTTTCC